TTGTGATAACTTGAAGGCAACTGATGTTCCTGTGGAGCCCATAGCTAGAGAAGAAATGGCTAGAAAGAGCTAGAATGTTGGTACGTGTTGACTGTGCTCTGTTGCACTTAGCAACATATTACAATAGGTAACCCAAGAAAAAAAATGACCAATCTGCAATCAGATAAAGAGAAAAAAAAGTTTGAAAAGCGAACTGCTTGTATACCTCCAAACAGAGGAAGACAAGGCTATTATTGCTCCAAGGACTGCCATTAACCACCCCGTTGCACTTAAAGATAAAAAAAAAAAAAAAAAGGAACCAGCCCTAAGCCAAAACCCAAACTGTGGATGTTGTTTTCCTCTCCAAGCCTGTTGTTTTATATGGCCTCCAGGTAACTGCCATCAAAATGAGAAAACAAAGAAATAAAGTGGTTTAACACTATACCCAGGAAAGAACTTTGAGTGTAGTTACAGGCAATGGAACTAACTGGAGACAAAAAGAGAAGAAGTCTACCATATTTTTGAGGAAATGGTTTTACCAAAGTAACCAAAAGCTTGTATTTTTTTCAAACTTAAAATAGCTCTCATGAGTGTAGTCACCAACATGTCACTTTGATGTGGCTATGCTGGGCAACAGACAACAGGAAATACTTCTCGAAGGGCGGGGGTGGGGGCGGGGGCTCAGAAGGGAATAGACAAAGAGTTATTCCGTGAGAGCAGAAGCAGGAGTTGCCTAGCCCGGGAAGTCAGTGTATTGCCAGGGCAAGAACCCTTTGCAATCCCTCCCTCACAGAATTTGTTATTTGCTATGGTTCAGTGACTACTGTATATTCAAATAGGAGCCTTTATTTCACTTCTCCTGGTCTTGTTTTTCCGATGTTGATTGATGGCAGGGAAGGAAGACAAGTTGATGTTTAGCGCATAGGTGGCTGAGTATGAGGAGTTAACCCTGGACCTAATGGAGAAAACTGCACATCTAGTAGAAATTCTTGAACTAGAGAATGGGTCTCTGAGTTGTTTTCCTTCGGGAGTGAGTGAGTACATTCTATGTGTGGGAAGAAGGAAGCAAGCAGACAGTTGGATGGCTGGAGGGCAATGGAACTGTGATAGAAACTACTACTAAGTTCTCTTCTCCTTCCATAGTAATAAAACGGTAGCCAGACACCCAACTTCCCGACTGGACTACATTTCCCAGCCTGCCTTGCAACTATAACATGACTGAATTCTCAATAACACCATGAAGTGATGGATGCCACTTCCAGGTCTGGGACTTCAGACCTTCACACTCTCTTCCCCTTCCATACCAGCTGGACCCCACATAATGGCAACTCTGCTTCGACCATATGGATGGTGACAGTGTCCCAGAGGATGGCAAAACAACTTGGGAGGGACCGTGATCCCGAGATTACTTCAAGAAGAAAAGCTGCCCAGCCAATGTGGACAGTTCACATTGATGCTATTACCCCCCCAAAAGTATACTGCTTTGTCTTATAAGACACTTAAGGGTTAGTTCTTTTTGTTACACTGGTCTTAGCATCACTAGTATATGGCTGGCATCAGAAATCCCTCTCTTCTTATATCCTGGACCTGTGAGGAAGCCTTGGAGAAAATTTCTGCATATGGGCGTATATGCCCACATGTGCACTAAAAGGAGCTGGTTAAAAACAAACAAAAGAACCTTGAGGAGTCGTGTGTAATAAAAACAGTATTTGGTCTTTGATTCAAATTACTGGCACAGAGCTTCTAAGACCCTTGAAATTTTCTGATGGGAGTGTCTTTTGTTGTTCATAATGACCTTCTGACCACATCTGTGTCGAAGCTAATGAGGTGACCCAGGGTGGGGCCCCTATATAACATCAGAACCGGGCTGATTGCTAGAAAGACCAGACCTGAGATTAGAAGGTGGGACTTTCAGCCTCACTCCCTGACCTCCAGGGAGGGGAATGGGTTAGAGATCGAGTTCCAAAACCTCTTCAATAATGAAATTTGGGAGCTTTTGGGTTAGTCAATACATTAAAGGGCTGGAGGGTGGTGTGCCCAGAGAGGGCATGGGAGTTCCACACTCCCAGTCTCATACCTTGCCCTTTACCACGCTTCTTTTGACTGACTTGCATCCTTTCTAATAAACTGGTAAATATATAAGTGTTCTCCTGAGTTCTGTGAGTTGTTCTAACAAATCATTGAACCTGACCAGGGTGTTGTGGGAACCCCTGAATTTATAGGTGGTTGGCCTCTGGGACTTGGGAATGAAGTGGGGGAGGGAGCAGTCTGGTGGGACTGAGCCCTTTACCTGTGGGGTCTGTGCCAACTCTGAATAGTGTCCGAGTTGAATTCAATTGTTGGACATATGGTTGATGCTGATGGATTGGAGAACTGGTGTGGGACATCCCCACACATTTGGTGTCAGAAATGGTACCAGAAAAAAAAAAGATACCCCAGGAGCTTACAGTACACATAGGTTGTGGAGCAGTCTAACAAGAGCCTAACACTTTGCTTTACATAAACACTTCAGCTTTGCCTCTGCACCCTCTGAACTCCTGTAGTCAGCAATGGAGACATCAGCCTCAGGGATCGCTGCACTGCCCACAGTGGCCAAGAACCTCTAGGTTGCTATGATGCCAACCTAAGAAGATGAAAAATGGGTCTCTTCCAGACTCAAGAGTGTAGCTGAGAACAGCATATACATGTGACTGCACATTCTAGAGAGATACCTGTTAGAAGGTTTCCCCAAACCAGCACCCATGCTCAGGCTGTATACAAGTAGGGGGAGATTGATTTCCAGAGAGAGTTCCTGGAGAGTTGTGTGTTTTTTGCCCCTTTCTCCTACCTGCCCCACTATAAGCCACATGAGGAAGAATTTCAGGATCTGAGATGTCATTTAGGTTTCTGAGGCTGAGCCAGGCCCAACCTGAGGGTAGCAGAGATATAGTAAATTAAGCGAGAAATTGAAGTTTTGATTTAGATTGAACAGGACTTTTTTTAAATTAAATTTTTTACTGAGATATAATTGTGGACTAGACTTTTTAATACCTGCAAATGAGACTCTCTGTTCATGTTTTTAAAGTGACCAGAAAAGCTACTGGATCTCCCTTAGTTATTATCCAGGGGAGGAGAGAGAGACATGATATAGGATGTTTGAAAGGCAATAGAGAGAATCAAATGGATTTTTATGCCTGTGCTTGCCAAGTGCATCTCATTCAATGCATAGGATGGGGACCAGGTTTGGGTGGGGATGCCTGCCAGCCTGGAGCTCATGCTCCACCAACAGCCAAGAATCATATGGAATGGCCACCAGAGCATTTTCACTAGCCGTTCCATGTGGCAGCAATAACAACAACAACAAAACATTGATTTTCCTAGTATTTCTCCCATCAAGGCGAGAGCAATTAGAACCAAGCCCTTAAACCGAGTGAGCACAGAGGCTGTGGCCTGACTGTGGAAGGAGGAGGGAGAAAGACCCTGCTGCACAAAGGCGTCCTGACACAATGAAAGGGAAGATTCAAAGAAAGGCTTTAGGAAGCTCTCTTCTGGCCTCAGACTGCCTGCCTCCAGGCTTCCTCCACGAGAGACACAAACTTCCATCTTATTTAACCTCATCCTCTCTGATATAATATCTGTAATATATTAAACACTTCTTTAAATAAGTAAAAAAAAACAAAACAAAAACAAACACCAGGTCTGTAGAAATATGGACAAAGGAAAGCAGGTAATTCACACATGAAAGAAATACAAATGGCCACTACATATATGAAAACGTACTTAACCTAAGTAGTAACTCAAGAAATGTAAATGTGAAAAATGAAATACCATTTCTTATGTATTATGTTGGCAAAAATTTTAAACATGAATTTTATCTGGTTGAAAAGAATGTGAATTATATCTGGGAGAAACAGATTCTCTCATTCAATATTGATGAGACAACACTTGGGAAGACTTTTTGCCAGACAGTCTAGAAATAGCTATAAATGTTAAAAATGCATCTGTATGAATATGTGCACATATGCATGCATGGGTGTGTCTGTGTGTGTAACATACAGGAAAAGGCCTGAAATATATATATAAATAACAAACTTAATAGTGTTTTTGTTTGTTTGTTTTTTAAAAATATATTTTTATTGATTTCAGAGAGGAAGGCAGAGGGAGAGAGAGATTGAAACATCAATGATGAGAGAGAATCATTGATTGGCTGCCTCCTGCACGCCCCCTACTGGGGATCAAGCCCGCAACCCGAGCATATGCCCTTGACCAGAATTGAACCAAAGACCCTTTAGTCTGCAGGCTGATGCTCTATTCACTGAGCCAAACCGGGTAGGGCTTAATAGTGTTTTTATTAGGAGAGGAGGGTCAATGATGGACAGAGGATATTAATGAACTCTCACTTTTTATACCAGGACTTAAAATTTTTATAGCCAATAATATTTTTGTAATTCAAATTTTTAAATTAAAAATATCAGTTACACTAGCTTTTCAAAGTTTAAATAGATATTCAAAATGTTTTCATTGATTTATTTCCCTTTAAAATAGATGTGTTGGGTGCAGAGCAGGCATAATCTACTCAAATCTGAGTAATTTCGGCAACCTGAACCCTCCTTGGTGATAGGTAGATAGTTTAGTATTTCACAACCCCGGGAAGAGGGCTTCCTTAATTGGTAACAATGCAAATACAGGTGATATTGTATATCACTGGGCAGTAACGAGTAAGACTTGTTTTAGTAATTAAAGATTAAAAATGCAATCTTAGGGAAAGAATTTGAAATAAAGGCTACAGAGATTAGAATTTTCAATAAAAAAATTAAATCTGCTATTAATTTTTATCTTTTCTTTTTGGCAGAGTCTGTCTTCAGTTTTTAAGCTTGTATGCCAAGGAAATGACCTTCTGCCACCTCGTACTGCTGTACTTGCCTGTTTTCAGACCAGAATTCATTCCCAACAACAGCAAGTCTTCCAAGAAGTCTTTTTAAAAAAATCTCTAAGTTTTAGGTAAAAAGTAGGTCATTTAAAATATAAGAAGACATTCTTACTTGGTCCTCAAAAGATAGAGCCTGGGCAACATCTCTTGGGAATCCATCAATAACAATGCCCTCTTCATCAGGAATTTGCATCAATCTCTGTTTTATCTCTGTAATTGTTGTTTCCTTTTATAAAAGAAAAAGGATGAAAAATCACAATTAAGCTAAGTATACTCACAACTAGTATAAAAACTACAGAAGTGTTAAAAAAGAAAAAGCAAATTATACAGCAGTACCTGTGGGGCCAATTCTCCAGTTGTAATTATTTTGGCAATGAGACTCCATTTCCTGTTGCTGCTGGCACTGTGGATCTTCTTTCTTAATAATTCTCCCACTGAAATGTACTGGAATCCATAACGTTCTGCAATTTTCAAACTTTGAGTACCCTTTCCACTTCCTGGACCACCTACGATTTAAAACAGGTTAAATGGTGACCTTCTGATACAGTAAGAAACTCCCCTTTATACAATGATTGCCTTCATCTTCAGATGCAGCTTCTAGACCAGTGATGGCGAACTTATGACACACGTGTCAGAGGTGACACACAAACTCATTTTTTTGGTTGATTTTTCTTTGTTAAATGGCATTTAAATATATAAAATAAATATAAAAAATATAAATCTTTGTTTTACTATGGTTGCAAATATCAAAAAATTTCTATATGTGACACGGCACCAGAGTTAAGTTAGGGTTTTTCAAAATGCTGACACGCTGAACTCAAAAGGTTCACCATCACTGTTCTAGACCAATAGTAAGGAGCAGGACAGGTACGTGTTCCACTGGTGGCATCCCAATCCCATCCCTGAATGCAGAGCGAGTGTAGATTAACCAGAGAATGGGTAGAACTGTGGTGATCAACTGCATTAAATGAGAGACAGTTTTTCCTTTACCTATTTTATTAAATAACTAATTTTTAAAAAATTTGAACAATGCAGGTGAAAGAAACCTTCACTATTATTCTATGCAAGCTCTCAGTTTTTTCCTCATAAACAAAGAAAAATCTATGGCATACAAAGGGCAATGACTGAAATAACAGACTTGTGTTTCATGTCATAAAGAGTTGATGTGTAATAGGGTGAACTATAACAATTATTTTTTAACCAAAGGCACACTAATTTTTTTAATTAAAATTTTAATTGAATTTATTGGGGTAACATTGGTTAATAAAATTGTATAGGTTTCAAGTGTACAATTCTCTAATAGATCATCTGTATATTTTATTGTGTGTTCACCAACCAAAGTCAAGTGTTTTCCCACCATTATTTATTCCACCTTTACTCTCTTCTACCCCCCCATTCCCCTTTACCTCTCATAATCACTATACTGTTGTCGGTGTCTATGAGTTTATTTTTATTTTTTTTGCTTATTCCCTTCACCTTTTTCACCAGGTCCCCAATAATATTGACACAACTTATTTAAATCTTTTCTTGAACTTTTTCTGCTCATGCATGTCCTTGCCCTATCTCCTTTAAGTTCAAGTTTTGTGTAGCAAATATGCAGAGTGAATGAAATAGATTCTTAAGGTAGAATAATTTTACAGAACTCATGATAACTTTGATTTTGTTATATGTTGGTGTAAAATAATCGACATTTGCAATATAACATAATACTAATACTTGGTAGTTGCCATTTAATTTAAAAGCATAAGTACTAAAATAATTATGAATATATGGCTCAAATTTTACTTCCAAATCATATTAGATTATTTTATTTAATTTATATTTCTAAACAAGCTAGATGATTTGGAATCTAAAGTTTGAACAAATTTCAAAATACAGCATAGTAACCAGCCCAGTCTGATTTATTTGTTAACAATTATAAAAATGAAATGTTTTCAAATACCTAAGCATAAATTATTGACTGTAGACAAAATATCTTTAAAGTCAATGTCTAACAAGTAATAAAATGCTTTGGTAATATTCATCAAAATATAATTATAATTTATTAAGCAATATTGAAAATAAAACTTCAATAGGAAAATGAGTTGATGTTCTCTCTACTAATTCAATATCTTAAGTTTTGGAGGGTAGAAGTCATTTTATATATAGTTATTTAGTAAATATTTTTTATTCTTGTTGTAAATAATCCTATATAATAAAAGCCCAATATGCTAAGTGTCTGGTCGGCCGTTCAACCAATCAAAGCGTAATATGCTAATGATATGTTAAGGCCACTCAACCACTCGCTATGGTGTGCACTGACCACCAGGAGGAAGACGCTCTGACTGGTAAGTTAGCTTGCTCCTGGGGTTCAGCCAATCGGGATTGAGCGAGATAGGCCAGACCCACCTTGGAGCCCTCCTGTGGCCCCTCCCCAGTTGGCCAACCTCCTGCATCCCTCTCCGGCCCCGATTGTGCACTGGTGGGGTCCCTCAGCCTGGCCTGTGCCATCTCACAATCCGGGACCCCTCAGGGGATGTGGGAGAGCTGGTTTAGGCCCCATCCCACAGGCCAGGCTGAGGGACCCCACTGGTGCATGAATTCATGCACTGGGCCTCTTTTATAAGTGAAAAAAAGAAAAGACAAGTGTTTTGTTTTGACAGAAGAGTTTCAAGTGGGTAGACTTAGGGCTTATTTTCTCATTAAAAAATTTATGTGCAGAAGTCTAAGATCAACTAATATAATGAGAATTACCTCTGAACCCCAATCCGAAATAATGTACCAAATAATATCTGGCTTTCACCTTTTTATTGGTTTATTAAACGTAGTATAGGAATTTATTTACATTTTTTATCATTCTCTAACAACCTCAAATACTATTTGATTGGATTTAACATTATGAACTATTACCAGATTAAATTCATTACTTTGCAAATCAAAAGTTAGTTTGGGTTCTAAATAGCTGCTTTTAGTTTATTAGCCTATGGGCAAATCATGGATTGGCTTGAAGGGAAAAAATTATGACCATTCCATCAAAATTTCATCAAAAATGATTTGATCCCTAAAGAAAGTTATCTTTCATACACTATATTTTCACATTTAATCTTACAAACCATCAAAGAAATAGATATAAATTCCACTGAATTTTAAAAAATTAAACATACTAAGAAATTTACAGCATCTTCACAGAAAAAAAATTGTTTTTTGTCAACTAATGAAGGCAATAGCAGACAACACAATTGATTAATACAATTGACAGAGAATAGCATTAATTTATTAGATGAATTTGATTATAGAAACTTCTTAAAATTGCCCTAATTTTCTTAGATAACGTAAGGTTTGACGTTTCCTTTCTTCTTTTATCTCAATTCTCTAAAAATTATTTATAATCATTGGTTTTGTATCATTCTTGCAATACAGAAAATTTACAATTCAGCATGCAAGTCTAAAACCAAAATCACACCCTTGTAAAGCAAGTTGATTTTACCAAGAAACAAAGGAATTGTGAAGTGGAGGATCTATATCTCCTCCAAAGATCTTGGTTTACTGAAATATTTTAATCATTTTTATATAAAACTCACAATCACAAAACATTCACCTATGTGCTGTTTTACACAAGAGCAATTTGGTATTTCACTTTTTTCATAGTCAATCAAGACTCCTTTGCTCATCCTGTTAATAATCACCAATATTTACTAACAGGAACAAGAATTTGAATAATATCTACACTAATAAAAGAGAAACATGGTAATTGGCGTACGACCGCTACCCTTTTCATTGGCTAATCAGTGAGTATATGCAAATTAACTGTCAGCCAAGATGGCGGCCGGCAGCCAGGCACTGAAGCGAGCATGAGGCTTGCTTGCTGCGGACTCCAACGTTCCCCGCCTGCGCTGCCGGCCTCTGAGCTACAACTCTAAGCAACTATGTACTTTGTTGCAAATAAGAAGATAAACAAAACTCCAGAAACCAGCGGGACTGAAAGCCAGCCGGACCGAAACATTGTATCCATGTTTTCAGCAGCGAGGCCTCAGAGCTAAAGCTGGCCCAGAATAAAAAAAAAAAAAAAGAAAACAAGGAGCGGTTGGGAGCTTTAGTCACTCGCCACCCGGTAAACAACCCTCAGCCCCTCACCCAGACTGGCCAGGCACCCCAGTGGGGACCCCCACCCTGATCCAGGACACCCTTCAGGGCAAACCAGCCGGCCCCCACCCGTGCACCAGGCCTCTATCCTATATAGTAAAAGGGTAATATGCCTCCCAGCACCGGGATCAGCGTGACAGGGGGCAGCGCAAAACCCCCTGATCGCCCTGCGCACGGTGTGTGACAGGGGGCGGG